CCCCCCCCCCCCCCAGCTGGGTCCTGAGCACCCAGGAGGCCTCGAGCCGGGCGCAGGGTCTGTGAGCATCGGACTCTTGTCTCCACGGCCCCTGCAGCCAGCCAAGTCCACCGAGGGAAGCCAGGGAGCTCCTCCCCAGGGGCCGGCGGGTGGGGGGCGCCTGGGGACGGGGACGAGCATGGACCCTGGCCTCTGGCACAGCCGACCCCTAGTCTCCTTTCGTGCTCTGCTGCTCTCCCCGCGTCCCTCACCAGCGGCGTCCCTGGGGTGTCCAGCCTGAGCCTGGCAGGGAAGGGGTCTCTCCCGGCTGCGAGCAAACACCACAACCCTGCGACACCAGCCTCTCAGGCCCCAGCCTACCCCCTGTGCTTGAGCACAAGCTCCTGGAAAGGTCGGGCGGGGGGGGGGCTCTGCCCCTTCAACAGCCTGCGCCGAAGCGCGTGCCCGCGGAGCTGCTAGAACCCAGGCCATGTGCCCTCCCCCTCCCATTCCCGCAGTCCTTCATTCACCGCCGCGTGCTCCTCAAGGCCTGGCTTCCTCCAGCTGACTCGCTGCTCCCTTCTGATTGGCACAGGGGTGAGGGGTGAGGCTCCAAACACTCCCTGCCTCTCCTTATGAGTCTCCCGCCCCCCTCCTCGACAGGGGCGGCTCAGGACACCCCTTCACCCCCAGATGTAAGGGACTCACTGGCAAGCTCCAAGATGCACTGACATTTTACAAGAATATCTAAAGGAATAAAACTCTAATGGTGGAATCTCAGGTCAGTCAAGGAGACCAAACTTTGGGGACAGTGGGGACGGCAGTGCCACTTGTCCCATGAGGCCAGCGCTCTGGATGAGCCCCTCCTGCACGTTCCTGAGCTCAGACCCCTGTTCCAGCATGTGTGCAGGGGAGGAATCCAGCCTCGCAATTCCACTAGAGGCACCCATGGTCTCACCGCCGCCGCGAGGCAACAGGGGAAGGGCCTGGGAGAGAATCGCGTGCATTTAAAATACCCCTGAAGGAAGGGGAAACACCACGGTCCACGCCTGTCCCTGGAGCCCAAAGCGCCCGGCCCCGCCCCTCCCCCACCGCTGCCCGGGATTGTGACTCGAATTCTAGTTTTTGTCAGAACTCCATGGAAACCATGTCCAGGCTGGATGCGAAAGAAACAGGGGGCCGTGTGGAGAGATGGGGCAAGGGGAGGCCGGCACACATGCGTGCACACGCACACATGCGCACACGCACACATGCAAGTACACACATGAGGGCACCAGTCTTTCACCCCGTTGGGGCTCCTCCCGCAGCTCGGAGAGGTCACCAGTCTCAGCCCAGCTCAGGAGGCGCAGACCACTGGCCACCTGGGCCCCCGGGCCCCCACCTTCCCTGCCCCCTTGGGGACGAAGAGAGACGTGGGTCGGAGCAGGGCCAGGGCCAGAGCCGGCTGGTCAGCCCCTGCCCACCCTTGTGGGGCCCCTCGGGGAGCTGCGGTGGGTCGGACCAGGGCTTCCCTCTCCCCGCTGGCCGGGGCCTCGGGGGTCTGGTTCCCATCCCCCCTCAGGGTTCTGGCCCCCTCGTCCCCGGGGGTGCTGAACGGGGGACCCTGGGGCGGGTGCTCGTGATGGAATGACAACTGCAAACTCTGGCTGCTGGATCTGAGGGCTGTTGGCCAGCCAGCCCTCAACCGTAATTCACGTATCTTCGCCCACGGAGGCTGGGACTTGTTACCCAGAAAATCTAGGGGCGCCTGGGGGGCTCCGTCGGTTAAGTGTCGACTTCGGCTCAGGTCATGATCTCATGTTCTAGGAGTTCGAGCCCCGCGTCGGGCTCTGTGCTGACAGCTCGGAGCCTGGAGCTGCTTCGGATTCTGGGTCTCCCTCTCTCTGCCCCTCCCCTGCTCGTGCTCTGTGTCTCTCACTCTCAAAAATGAACATTAAAAGAAAAGAAAATCTAATGAATGAACGAACCAGCAAACGTCCACCTCCCTCCCCAGGTCTGGCTGGGGCTGCAGGGCCTGCAGAGAGGAGACAAGGGGCAGGGGCTTCACAGACACACAGGGAGTGACAGACCCTCAGATCTGTGCCCCCCCCCCCCCCCCCCCCCCCCGCGCACAGTTCAGCAAACCCCCGCTGAGCAGCAGGGGGAGCAGACACACGCACACACACATACCCACATGCGCACGCACGCCCACACACACGCACGCGTACACACATGCACACACATACCCACACACGCGCGCACACTCACACGTGCGGGGGCATACACATATGCACGCGGGCACACACGGACAGCCTGGAGCCAGGCAGACGCACCCAGGACGTCCTGCAAGACGCACTCCCGCAGCTCATGGTGGCGGGTACCTGCTGGGGAGGCAGGTCTGGGTGCTCAGGGTGGGGGGGCGCGAGGGCACAAGTCCCCCACCCCCAGTGTCCCCTGGGGGAGCGCAGGGGCCCCCACAGGTTGCCTGGAAACCCTGGGGCACCCCGGGCTCCCTTCCCCAGGCCTCTGCCCCCTGGTGTCCACTCTGAGCAAACTTCCAAAAGGGCCGTTGGCGTCTGGTCGGCTGCCCGCGGCCCCATCAGCTTACAGGCTCCGTGCTCCACCTCGTCTGCCTCCCAAGAACCACAGGTACCCTAGGCGGGGGCCATGGACACCCCAAGCTGGGGGCTGCGAGGGGGTGCCAGGGCCCTGCCTGCCTTCACTATCCCGGGAGAAGTCCCCCTCCCCCCACTTCTGGGAGTGAGACTCAGTCCCCACTCCCCCCCTGCAGTGGGGACGCAGGCGCCCGCCCAGTCACCGGTGCGGCCTGCGCAGGGCGGTGATGGCTCACGGCACCAACCCTTCCACCGCCCCCGCCCCCGGCCGGTGCCCGGGACTGCTCCCCAATAAGTGACTGGGACTCCTTCCTGGTCTCAGGGTGGCCCTGGGAAGCAGCCCCTGTGTGCGACTCAGGGACTGGGTCCCAAGTGCCCCCACTGGCTGTAAGTGGGGCCAGGGCCGCGGAGTTCAGGGGCAGTAAGTCAGGGAAGCCAAGGCCACCTTCTATCAGGCTGGCCTTGCCTCTGAACCCCCTGCCGGCGTTTGCCCCAAGAGCGCCCGCACGGGGCAGGCAGGCTGCCTCAGCTTTCCTCCGGCTGCAGCTGGAAGTCCGCACTTGCACTTCTGGCGTCAGAGGCGCTGGGGACCTTCCCGCGGCCGCAGGTCTTCTCGCGGACGGACACCCAGGCCCCTTCCGGGCCTTCACCTCCCAGGGGCCGCGGTGAGGCCCGGCTCCCGCCTGCACCCCTGCACCCCTCCCTCCAGGGGATCCCAACTCTGAGCCGCCCGGCCTGCGTTCCTCCCGCGCCCGTGTCGGCGATGACGCCCTCAGGTCCCTTCAAAAGAAGGTTCTGGCGGAACATTCCGTGACATTCTCTCTCCGCCCATCAATCACACGAGCTGGGAGGACAACGCCAGCCTCGTTGGCCCTTCAGGATGGGCCGCTTCCGTGATCTGTGGGGTCCCCGCGTCTCCCCTCGGGTCTCATCCGCTTTGGGATCAAAGGGCGGGGTTACGTGTGCCGCGTAAGTGCGCAGCGAGGGGAACGCGCCGGAGATGCCTCCGAGCGGGGCTCCCTTTCCCGAGCCCTTCAAGCTGCGCAGGAGCGGCCCCGGAAGACGGTCCCCGGTCTGCGCGGGACGTGCGGGCGCGGACACGCTGACCCCGGGCCGAAGCCTCAACCGCGGAGCTGCCAGGGAGCATGCGCAGCGCGGGCGCCCCGAGGGCGGCGGTGCGCAGGGCGGGCGCCCCGAGGGCGGCGGTGCGCGCGCATCAGTCCGTCATGTCCCTGCTTGCGGGACAAAGAGCTTCTTGCCCGGCCGCCCGCCCGCCACCCACACGGCTACCTGTCGGCCTCTCGGCTCTTCGAGGAGCGTGAGCCCAGCCTCGTGCGGGGACACGAGCGAGCGGAACGGGGCGGGGAGAGGCCCGAGCTGTGGCCGACACGCCTGGGCCGGACCCCGGACTCCCCGCCGGCCCCGCAGGCCTGCTGCGCGCACGTGAACTTGGACGACGCAAAGCCTTCTTCGTTGGTTAGGAAGTGCTCCATCCTCCGATGGAAAATGTAAATAAAGAGCATACGTACCGAGTGAAGTCTCCACTTGGACCCCACTGCTGGCAGGGGGGCCCCACCAGCCCGTGCGGCGCCCGCCCCTTCGTGTGCACACTTGCACACAAAGTTAAAATAAGTGTTTGACATTCAGAAGTTCCTGGAAGTAAATGGCCTGTCTTGGGCAATAGTGAGGCCCCTGTCCCCAGGGTGCCCAAGCAGAGGACCCGCCTTGTCCCAACAGGCCTCTGCTGACTCTGCAGCTGAGGCCGGAGCCTGGCCCTCCGGGCGTCCGGGGAGGTGGGCCGGGGCCGGCCCGGGGCGCCCACCTTCCTTGTCCAGCCACCTCTGAATGCAGTGCAGGTGAGGCCAGTGAGCCAGCAGGGAAGGGACAGGCGCAGTGAGCAGGGGGTGGGAACAGTGAGGAGCGGCAGAAAGGAGGGGCAGTGAGGGGTCAGCAGAAGGGGGCCGGCACCCAGAGAAGGGACAGGAAAACCCCTGCTCTGCTCGGGTCAGTTGTGGGACCGCGCAGTGCTCGCTAACAGGACGGGGGCAGTTCCTTTTACTGATGAGGACACGGGTCTGGGAGGGAGACCTCTGGGGCCCTCAGGGCCCCCAGCCGAGGGTGCTGGGGTCCCCCAGCCCCAGCGCAGCCCCAGCCGCCCCTTCCTTCCCCCAGGGACCCGCCCACCCCCACTCCAGCCGCATTCAGCCAGGCTCTCTTTCCCGTGCTTTCTCCTCCCACAAGTGCTTGCCCTGGATGCGGTCCCACGTCATCTGAGGAGGCTGATGGGAACATGAGAACCCCATTGCAAGTCACCTGTAGCACTTTGGGTGACATTGCAGCACCCAAGAAAACAGTAAATTCCCACCAAACCTCAGCCTTCCA